ATACACAAAATAATGATCTTTAAAATAACATCATATGACCCCTTTAAATGAAATGGTATGAATTTGGTGAATATGATAAAACAATAAATCTGTAAAACTGCATGCATGTTCTCAGTTATAGGCTATTTGCTAAATGCTGTGTGACTTATTCATTTGGCAAATTCCCAATCTACTTCTGCTTCTCAAAGGAGTTGGATATTTTATCATAAGTTTGAAGTTTTATATATACAGTGGGTACGGAAAGTATTCAGACCCCCTTAAATTTTTCACTCTTTGTTATATTGCAGCCATTTGCTAAAATCATTTAAGTCTTTCCGTACCCACTGTATATACCCCAAACTTTGGAAACTGTTTACAATGTTAATAATAAGAAGAAATGTTTTTTGAGCACCAATTCATTATTGCTCATTATTACCAAAACATTATTGCTGTTTTTACCATATTTTTTATCAAATAGATGCAGCCTATGTGAGCACTTTGTGAGATGTCTTTCAAAAACATAAAAAAAATTTTTTTTAGTGTAACTATACACTGTATTTTGAGATGATGTATTTTGATCGATCAAATATTAATTGTATAAAATAACACTGTTAGTCACAAAATTACTAAATAAATACAGAAAACACAGCTTTGTATTCACCTGTACGTAAGCTTTTTATAGATAATGTCCAGGTGAACACTTCATTTAGTTAATGTGCTCTTCATCCGTTTAGCCGAGTGTACTGGAGTCGCTCCTGGCTTTCTTTCTGCAGTGTCGGATCAGCAGTCCAGCAGCGGTCAACAGTGACACTGACCCCACAGCCGGCAGTATGGCGACAGGCAGGTCTGGATTTCTCGAGATGCCATGTTGTGCTGGATTAAAAGAGTAAAGGATCATCAGAGTCAAGAAACATCACTGCAACTAGAATATTCCATACTCGCTGAATAAGCTATGATTAGTGCTATAATTTCAATATAGCCACAGCTAAAGGTTGTTGTAGATATTTTTATTCTTTTATATTCATGTATAATTGATTTGCTAAAAAAAAAAATCCAGTTGTTTTTTTTATTTCCTGCAACTGTTTTTTCTGGTTGTGACTATTTTGTTCTCTTGAACACACTGAATGGAAATGCTGCTTTATCAAAAGTTTTTTTTTCAATATTCATAAATTAAATTGAACATTTTCTGGAAAACTGGTTAGAGGTAAAGTTAACTAGGGAATTCCAGAAAGCAAGGTTAACTTTGCGTCAAAGACATATACCCTGAACTCTGTTGATTAACCCATAACTCGCTTACTTGAGGTAAGCAGGGTACAAAACCAGTAGTGAGTTTGGTCAAACTTTGGATACTAGTAACAGCTTACTAGTAACACACAAGACACCAAATTCAAGGAGTATGGCAAGCTGTTTTAACGTAAAATGTTCCCAGTAACGATTACACTGTTAGACATTTCTGTAATTTCTACATTTATTTACTGTATATCACCCAGTATAATACTGCAAATTCCTTTTACAGTAAGTAACTCTAATACCCTTTGCATCATGGGAATTTTATGTGACGTCAAACTCCAGATACAGAGACTTGCTGTATTTTTGTATTCTTTAATAATTGCATTGTCCATGGAGCGGACCTGACTTACATTTCACTGCTGGTCATATATTCTCTATATGATCGATCAAATATTAATTGTATAAAATAACACTGTTAGTCACAAAATTACTAAATAAATACAGAAAACACAGCTTTGTATTCACCTGTACGTAAGCTTTTTATAGATAATGTCCAGGTGAATGTTCCTTTCAGCAGAAAAACACTTCATTTAGTTAATGTGCTCTTCATCCGTTTAGCCGAGTGTACTGGAGTCGCTCCTGGCTTTCTTTGTGCAGTGTCAGATCTGTATTTTTGTATTCTTTAATAATTGCATTGTCCATGGAGCGGACCTGACTTACATTTCACTGCTGGTCATATATTCTCTATATAACCATGTATGTGACAAATAAAAATCTTGAATCTTTTAAAATTGCTGTATACTACTGTATTTGCCGTAACGCCTCTGTGGCGCCATTCCATTGAGGTTGTTTTATTTTCCTAATTTCTTACATTTGGATTGACAAGATTTGCCCTGCACCGTGTCTACAACGCCGCAACAGTTTGGGACAGACTATACTGGACGTGTTACATTGCTTGTAATGATTGGCAAATACGTTTGTCCTGCGTGTCAGAAACAGCGCGAGCGCTTGGAGTACTACTGTATGTCAGAAATATACCGGGGCATCAGTTTACTGTCCGCATCCATTGTAGATAGTATCACTGATTATAATGAGTTCTATATTGTCTTTTGTCGAGTCGCGCCGTGCCACTCGCATCCGAGGAAGACACAGAACCGACAGGGCAGCGCCACGGGTTTTTCCCGGGGATGAACCCGCGAGAGTGGAAGAGTTCTGGAGAACATCTGGAGGCCAGCAAGCAAGGTAAAAATATACAGTGGGGAAAAAAAGTATTTAGTCAGCCACCAATTGTGCAAGTTCTCCCACTTAAAAAGATGAGAGAGGCCTGTAATTTTCATCATAGGTATACCTCAACTATGAGAGACAAAATGAGAAAAAAAAAATCACATTGTAGGATTTTTAAAGAATTTATTTGCAAATTATGGTGGAAAATAAGTATTTGGTCAATAACAAAATTTCATCTCAATACTTTGTTATATATCCTTTGTTGGCAATGACAGAGGTCAAACGTTTTCTGTAAGTCTTCAGAAGGTTTTCACACACTGTTGCTGGTATTTTGGCCCATTCCTCCATGCAGATCTCCTCTAGAGCAGTAATGTTTTGGGGCTGTCGCGGGCAACACAGATTTTCAACTCCCTCCTAGAGAGCTTTCTAATCCAATTCTTAGTAAAAAAAATGCAATTACAGAGCTCTCTAATTCAATTTTTACAAGTAAACATCACATTAAAGATATGTTTAATTGCAGAGCTCTCTAATTGGAATTCTTAGTAACAACTGAACTAAAGCACACTCTAATTAAAGGCATCTCTACAACATTATGTAAAATACCACTGTATTTGAAGGATACAGCTTGAAGAAATTTGTAATTTGCATGTTTCCTTTTTAAAATATTTTTGTCAGTGACGTGTCAAGACAGACAATTCTATTTACACTGTGATAAATATAGGTATATCTGTTTCCACTAAAAATAGCTAAAAGATGTTTACCTTAGTAAAACTGCATAAATGGAACTATTTTAAACAGTTTTGTTTTGATATTTTGAATTTTTATATATTTATTCTAAAACATAACAAGGATACTGGATGATTTTTAGCAATAAAAAAATTGAGTATGGCACAAATGGCATTTATAGTCCATATCTCATATTCCCTTAATGTCTTGTACCTTTGACGGGTTAAACATGGTGTCATGTGGATGGTAATATATACATTGAAATTATATGCAGATGAGGTTATGCATAGTAAAACTAGGTGTTGTAAGCTCCATATATGGTGATTTCGGGGAGGAGACGGGGTGGAGATGCACATACGCACAATCTGGGATTTATAAAGGGATTTTTGCACAGGTTCTGGCATACGCATGATTTTATAAACTTGAAAACTTTTGTGCATACATACACTTTTAGGATGAAATCTACAGAGGGATTTATAAACGAGACCCCTGGATTAAACCCGAAGACACAGCAACCCCTGCTGCTCTTTCCAACAACTCTTCTTTCATACACCCCCCCATTCCACCACCTCTTTAACTGCTGACGATTTTACTTCACAAACAAAACCACATCCATCAGCAGTCAGTTCTTAGCTCCACTCACCCAGGTACTCACAGCAAACACTTCTCTCCTCCTTCTCTTATCAACTTATCAACTCCAGCTACCCTACCACTTGCCCTCTAGTCTAGACCCAACCCCCTCTCATATCCTACAAGCTATTTCCCCTGCACTTATGCCTTCAATCACATACATCATCAACACATCTCTTCTCACAGGCATTTTTCCCACCACATTCAAGCAGGCTTGGGTAACCTCACTGCTTTGAAAGTGGCCATTCAACTCAAACTGCCTTGCTGTCAGTCACTGAAGCGCTACGAAGAGCTGACTGCACTCCACTGGTTCGAGTCTTACCTCACAGGTAGGTCCTTCAAGGTGGCTTGGAGGTCTTACGGCTGAAGGTCTGGAATCCATGGCAGCTTTCATTGGCCAAGGCCCGTCCATGAGGCCGTTTGACCGACATGTCAAACAACCAATCACAGTTCGTTTCGTTTCGGGGCGTGGAAATGTCGCCACAATAACAGACCAGTGTTTAAAACTCTCGGACGTATTTTAAAGATTCTATGTGCCGAACTTGAAAATTTCACATAATTTTGAATATCCAGCGTTTAGTTGATCCTGATAAGCGCTCGTCATCACAGTTGTAAACACGACGGCTTTCTTCTTTTCGTGAGTCGGAAACTCCTGAAGTGTTTCCACTTTTGTGTGCCGTATGCATCAGATGTTCAGCCAACGGTCCGTGGGCGTGACGTCTGAGGCTGAGACTAGGGGAGGAGAGGTATCCAAATCACATCAACTGGTCACTGGGGTTCCTCAGGGATCAATTATTGGACCCCTCCTCTTCTGTATATACACTCCATCACTGGGACCCATCATTCAGGCACGTGGTTTTCCTACCATTGCTATGCAGATGGCACGCAGCTCTACCTCTCATTTCAACCAGATGATCCAATGGTTCCTGCTCGGTTCTCAGACTGCCTGACAGACATCTCAGCATGGATGAAAGAACATCACCAGCAGCTCACCCCGGCAAAGACAGAGCTTCTCATCTACCCAGCCACCCCATCAGTACAGCACAAGTTTACCATCCAACTGGGCTCATCAATGATAATCCCATCGTAATCGGGCAGAAAAATTTTGGGGTGATCCTTGATGATCAGCTGACCTTTAAAGATCATATTGCAAAAACAGCACGATCATGCAGGTTCACGCTACACAACATCAGGAAGATCAGACCCTTCCTAGCAGAGCATGCAACGCAGCTTCTCGTCCAGGCCCTTGTCATTTCTAGGCTGGACTATTGCAATGCTCTTCTGGCTGAACTTCCAACATGTGCAATCAGACCTCTGCAAATGATTCAGAATGAGCACGTCTTGATTTCAGTGAGCCCATGTCACACCGCTTCTCATCTCTCTGCACTGGCTTCCAGTCATGGCTCGCATCAAGTTCAATACATTGGTTCTTGCAGAACAGCCACGGGCTCTGAACCCTACCTCCGCTCTCTCCTATGCGTCTGCATCCCCTCCAAAAGCCTGCGGTCGATGTACAAGTGGCAGCTCATAGTTCTATCGTAGAGAGGCACAAAATCACTCTCGGATGTTTTCTTTCACTGTACCCTGTTGGTGGAATGACCTACCTAACTCCATCCGGACAGCCGAATCCCTCACAATCTTCAAGAAACAACTGAAAACTCATCCCTTCCAAAAGCATCTAACTGCCATCTCATTAAAAAAATCTATTCCTTCACTTTTTCTATTCTCTTATTATCCTTTATCCCTTCCTGTCCTAACTTTTACTATTTTAAACGTTGACTGAAACAATGTATAATGGGAACTTCTCATATTTATTTCTATGATAAATCGCTTGTATTCCTCAACTGTAAGTCGCTTTGGATAAAAGTGTATGCCAAATGAATAAATGTAAATGTAAAAGTAACGCTGAAATAAAAACCAACATATTTAAATAAAAACAAACGCTAATAAAAATGTCTAAAAATAAAATGAAAACTGAAAATACAAAAATAAAGCTAATTCATAATGATAGTGTATAAAACTATAATAGCGTATAGATAATACTAATATAAAACAAATGCAAACTGACTTCCCATGCAATGACATTTCCTTCAGAATGTTATAAACTCACCTTTGACTGTAATGTTCATTGTGCTTCTCTCAATGCCAAAGTCATTTTTTGCTTCACATATGTAAATCCCTGCATCTGTTATTTGGATTGATGAGATGTTTAAAAGCACAGCTGATTCATTCGGACCTCCTGTCGCAGTGCTCTGGGACTGTCTGTACAGTTTCAGTTTTGCTGGCCCGCCGTCTGAAGAACAGAATATGGTTATGTTCTCTCCTTCTTTCAGCTCTCCTCTATGGCTTAACTGGATTTTGGGGATGTTCGGAGGACCTGCATTTAAATTAAGGTTAAATATCATGGCCAGGTTTAAAATGATTAGACAAGACAGCTCGTTTCATCCTGAGTTAATTTACCCACCTGTAACAATGACTTTTACACTCATTTGCTGGCTTCCCACATTATTGCTTGCACCACACCGATACCAACCTGCCTGAGACCAGGAAGCATTACTTATTATGAGCTTGTTATTCTGGCTCTGATGTTCAGGCTCAGTCTCCCCTAGTTTCCACCAAAATATTTTTGGCTTGGGGTTTCCGTCTGCATGACATGCTATCTCCAAATGTTCGCCAAGCTTTACAGAAGTATTATTACTGGAAACTGTCATAGTCCCTGGACCATCTGGGAGAGAAATATAGAGTTTTCATCGATGACATGTGAAAAGTGATTTAATTCTTGGTAATAACTTGCTAAAGGAATATTCTGGGTTCAATACTATTTAAGCTCAGTCAACAGTACTTGTGGCATAATGTTGATTACTACAAAAATGTATTTCTAAAAATTAATCAGTCTGGGTTACACTGAGGTGGAAGTGTACGGGGCATTAAAATACTCACTGTTTCAACAATACAAGACATAAACAATATGTGTGTTAATATTATTTAAGTGTGACAATTTTTGCACTTTTCTGTGTAAAGTTATAGTCAATATTAAAACTTAGCTGCTATGACAATGTAATGCCTAAAATCACTGTAAAAAAATGAAAGCAACTTTACAGCTGCAATAAACAAGTTTTAACAGAAGGCTTAGTGAAAGTGCTTTTAGAAAAGCTGAAAGCTTAATATTTCTTAGGCAAACATTTGCCCAATTCACTTCCATTGTAAGTTCCTCACTGTTTTATTATTAATTTTGTGGCAACATTATGCCATAAATGTTGTTTCAGTTTAAAGGGATAGTTAACCTAAAAATGAAAATTCTGTCATAATTTACAAACTCGCAAGTTGATGGTAGCCATTGACTGCATAGTATTTTTTTTCCATACTATGGAAGTCAGTGGCTACTGGCAAATTTTTGATTACTAACATTCTTCAAAATATCTTCTTTTGTGTTCAGCAAAAGAAAGAAACTCATACAGGTTTGGAACAACTTGAGAATGAGTAAATGATGATAGTATTTTAAATTTTTGGGTGAACTATCCCTTTAACTTGTATTGAACCTGGAATATTTCTTTAATAATGACATACATTCTTACATACATTGACTTACATTCAGCAGTTGTTGTTTTCTCCAGACCACTGAGATTCAGGATTGCCTTGCAACTAATATTCTTGCCTAGATCATCGACAGAAGGTGTGTAATTGAACACAGAGGAATAATTCTGAACATGGTCTAAATTTTGTACATCAAGTTCTTCCTTATGGAGGGTTTTATCTCCACGAAGCCACTCAATGTGAAACCTTTCCAAAGGGTAAATGTTGTGGACTGTGCAGATGAGCTTCTGTTCTTGGTTTGCTATGAGACTCTTTATTTTGGGCAGTACGGGATCTTCTGGAAATGCTGCAGAAAACACACTTCATCATAACAACATCCAAATCATTTACACAATAAATACTGAAATTGTTTACTTTTTTCACTCTCTGTTTAGATCATCATAGCTTTAAACCTAAATAGAAAAAATAATAATAATATAAAAATAACTAAATATAATAACCATAGAAACACACGGTTACTGTTAATTTTCTACTGCCTAGTCTAACCGATTCCAATTGCTACTAATACCATTTTTATCACTACTAAGACAATCAGCTTTAAATGGTTACAAAAAAATGCATAAATGAAAATTCTCTCATCATTTTTACTTACCCTTATGCCATCCCAGATGAATATGACTACTTTCTTCAGGTGAACACAAACAGAGATTTTAGAAAAATAATCTCTGTAAATCCATAATGCAAGTGGATGGGCCCCTCAAAGTTGACGCTTCAAAAACCATACATGCAAAATAGTAAACACGACCACGAAAAGTAACTGTAATCCATACTACCGTAGTTGATGAATCAATGTCTTCTGAAGTAAAATGGTAGGTGTAAGAGAAAATATTAATATTTTAAATGTTTTACCATAATTTCCGACCATTACTTAAATAGCATGTCGTCAACTTTGAGGGACCCAACCACCAATGCTCCCTCTAATTTTTTTTCTTGCTGAGCAAAACTGATCTCTATTAGGCGGACATTTCTACCACCTGAGCAAAAAAAAGTTTTTTATACCAGACCTGTACAGTGCACACAAAAAAAACGTGTAACTGTGTAAAATTTGTGTAACAAAAAAAAGTGTAACTTTTAACTTCAATGTGCTATTTATATTTGAGTTGACCCTTGATGTAACTAAATGATGCACATTTTAGGTTAACTGAGATTTTTTTTTTTTTTTTACAGTGCTATTACCAAGGAATTCTATTAAAATCTAAAAAAAAAAATATAATGCAGAACAGTTCGATTCTTTATATAATATATGAAAAAATAAGCAGATATTGCTCATTAATTCCTTGCTTGAGGTTAATTATTAAGGCCTATTAGGTTTATAATATATCACATAATAACAAACTGAATCTGAGAGAATAGTATAGAACAGAATAGAATAGAAAACAAACTGAAGCATTTAAACTGAGATCTGTAAGCTAAATATTAATCAAGCCACTCTTCTTTAACGCATGAAGACATTTCATTTCACATGCCGTTTGCGTTGGCTCTCGTATTGAGCTATTTCGTCCGCAACCATTAAAGGGGTCATATGATGCTATTTTAAAGATCATTATTTTGTGTATTTGGTGTAACAGAATAGGTTGACATGCTTTAATGTTCAAAAAACACATTATTTTTCAAATACTGTACATTATTGTAGGTCCTCTATGCCCCGCCTCTCTCAAACACATAGTTTTCAACAAAGCCCCCTCCTTTGACAAGCGCAGTCTGCTCTGATTGGCCAGCTGACCCAGTGCATTGTGATTGGCCGAACACCACAAGCACGCGTCGGAAATGTAACGCCCCTTACCATAATAGCGAGATTCATCTTTCAAAGTAAATATCAAGACAGCTATTTCCACATAGTGACGTAGACATGTGGGGGGGTTGTTAGAACGAGCCGTTTTAGGTAGGCGTGGTTGACTCTTAACTTTTATAAAGAATATCTCTTTGGATTTGAGACTTTAGTCTTTGCAACTTTACAGATCTTCTTTATGCACCAAGAGCTTGTAACACTCCAAAGAGAAAGGAAAAATTGAAATCGCATCATATGACCCCTTTAAAGTACACGATTTCTACAGCAACTCATTTGGCGCACACCATTCTCTTTCTGCAAACCGCATTCACAGTTTCTAACTCTATAGCGATACGAAGTCTATAGTGGTTTGCCCGAGCATTGCAATTATTTCGCATTTACTAGAATTCAAATGGCTTTCAAAACTCAGTTTTGCGCATGGGCGTCGCTAGGCCAATTTTAGGGGGCTATAGCCCATATGATTACTCAGTCCCCATAAAATTTTGCGATTCGCTTCATAAACTGTACACGAATTCGTGATCGCCTCAGTCCCCTTTCAATTTCATATGAAAACGGCGGCAGACTTCGATCGGCTCCTCCCATAGACTTTATAAAAACATGGACGTAGTGTCCGTGACGTCACCTGTAGAGTTCCGATGAGCCTTTTTGAAGCCCAAAGTGGGCAGAGCGGGCCGTCGGATAATCGAAAATGGGCAATCACTCTGAGCAGAGTTGATTTAACCCGGGGGATTTTGCTGAGTACTTGTTGTTGTTGTTTTGTTTTACAGAGCGGGCCGTCGGATAATCGAAAATGGGCAAAAAGGCTGGAGCAGGTTGCTGAAACCACACCCACCAAGCTCGACGCTGGTGACAGCAGCGGCAAGCCACCTGTCACTCAAGTGGCCAGAGGTGTGTGTTTATTGATAGACTGTTATAATATCTGCATCTGTGCAGTTCTTTGTCATAAATCCAGTTTACAAAAAATCATGGGGGAGCAATAATCGGTTCCCCATCCACTGCATTCCCCCCTCCAGGGGCGTGTCTACGTGGTGGCCAGCGGTGGCACCGGCCCCCCCTGAAATTTGGCAGGCCACCCCAGGTGCCCCCCCTACCAGATGTCTTGCGATAGGCTTGTATTTAGTAAATTTCTAACTGCATCTGGCAGTGGCGGATACTGGAATGTGTTAGCACGCGATCCATGTGCGTGAGGACGAATCTCTCCACTCCCAAGCGGATTTCCTTCACTCACACAAAACTGGATAAATGCTCTAGACACGCCCCTGCCCCCCTCATCACACCACAGCTGTTTCCTCCAGTGAAAATGAAGCACATATGAACGCACACTTTATAAAACGATCATGTTGCCATTTTCATTTGAAAATTTAACTTCCACAATAATTCATATTTCAGATCATGTGCCAAAGAGGTTTGCATACTTGAGCTTAGGAAAGAGGGTTGTACTAGAAATGCAAACAGTAAAATTTTGTGTTTGTACAGTAAAACAGGTTGTGTGTGTGTGAGATGATGAAGACTTGAATTTGGCTTATTCAGCACTCAAATGTTATAACTATCTATGCAATACGTTTAGTATACAACCCCTATTGATCAAACATTTTTTACCTTATTTATATTTTTATTATTAGGCTATTATTATTATTATACCCTCACTGGGGGCTGAATGAAAATGAAAATCCTAGAATCGCCCCTGGTTTTGCGTCTCTGTCTTGTGCGTGGCATTTTATCTCTTCTGCGCAGTCGCCAACCACTTGTCTCTTATGGACTCACAGAGATAGATTATTTTTATAAAAATCTGTTTGTGTTCCACAGAAAAAGAAAAAAAATATGTATATATCTGGGGCGTCATGAGGGTGTGTATTTGATGAGAGAAGCTTAATTTTTGTTTGAAGTATCCCTTTAATGTTATCACAAAAGAAATGTAAAATAGTTTTGTACAAGAATAAAACTGCTAGTTGTAAGAACTGCTGCAATTATTTACTAATAACTGAAAAATTCTAAGAATAGTTTAAATAATTACTAGCAAAACTGGAATAGGTTTTATATATACTGTATAGGTAACAGAAACAGATTATTGGAATATTTAAGTTCCATAGCTATAGTCAGTACATGAGTAGGTTAACTCAAAATTATGTCTAATTGGGAAAATGGGGAAAAAACTGTACTTACAGAACACCTCTATCTTTGTCATTTTCTGTAGGATTTTTCCATCACAGGTAGTTTTGCACATGACAGTTTCACTGTGTATAACAGAGATGCTCCTGATCAGCAGATAGGAAACAGTATGCTCATTTTTAAATTCTGCTGCAAGAAATTTGTCCATTGCTGATGTCCACACGAAGGTCACATTAACCGGACAATCAATCACTTGACAGGTCATCTCCAAATCCTCACCAACACGAATCACTGGATGTAACGGAGTTAATACCAGTTTTGAATTGTTTTCTCCTGTGGAAAAAAATGTGTACTGTCAAAATAATGAAATGTGTAAGGTTAAAATTGAATAAACAAAGCTGCGTGAGGTCTTCTTACCTGTTATTACATTGAGAATATCAATCCACAGCACAAAAGTGATGCATTTCACTCCACACATTTTGCTTTTGTTGTGTTTCACTCATTCAGCATGCAAATTCAGAAATGGCACGATAATGGTGATGGATATTCCCACCACGGCTCTTTTCTGACCAAGATACTGATCAACCATCCCGCCTTTTCCTTTTTACTTTCTGTTTCTCCGAACAAACATTATCCATTTGATTCGCTTATCAGACTCCAAGACACACCTGTTCAGATTTTCCTCATATCCTCCAAATTGTGCACATAATTAAATGGTTCTTGAATATTTTGCATAGATGTTTTGAGTGTATCTTTTTGTCTTTTTGTACAGCACAAATCACCATGTCACAGTCTTTAAAAATGAACAGATCTGTGAATGCATCTAAAGTATATTCCACCTAAAGTATATTCCAGTTAAAATTACAACTATCTGTACAAAATGTTTTACAAATCATAATTTCTGTACAATCATATTGCTAAACATAATTGAATCAGCATCATGTGATCATACATACATGCATATTTCCTTCAAACATACCCATACTGTCACACACTCATCCACAGATGCACAACTGCATCTGTTAGAATTGTGACTTTCAAAAAAACTAAAACAAAACTGCTTCATGTAAAATTAGTCAAACAAATGCCAGCAGATACGTTCCATTTCAGACTCCAAGACACACCTGTTCACATTTTCCTCATATCCTCCAAATTGTGCACATAATTAAATGGTTCTTGAATATTTTGCATAGATGTTTTGAGTGTATCTTTTTGTCTTTTTGTACAGCACAGTCACAGTCTTTAAAAATGAACAGATCTGTGAATGCATCTAAAGTATATTCCACCTAAAGTATATTCCAGTTAAAATTACAACTATCTGTACAAAATGTTTTACAAATCATAATTTCTGTACAATCATATTGCTAAACATAATTGAATCAGCATCATGTGATCATACATACATGCATATTTCCTTCAAACATACCCATACTGTCACACACTCATCCACAGATGCACAACTGCATCTGTTAGAATTGTGACTTTCAAAAAAACTAAAACAAAACTGCTTCATGTAAAATTAGTCAAACAAATGCCAGCAGATACGTTCCATTTTGGATGTTGAAAAAAAAAATTAATTACTAAATACATTTGTGAATAATACATCATAGAACTTATTTTCTCAATTAAAACACTATACATATATTATAAATACTATTTTTTCTTCACATTTTATAATTTTGTTTAGGAGCGATTAAGGAATGATCTGTCCATGGTCAAAAAGTCAGCTGCGATTGCCATCAGTGTATAATCATAGTCTTAGTACTGAGCATATTCAGACTGAAGGGACTGTGGAGAGAAAGAGAGAATGAAATTAATACATTGATATAAAAGGATGTGTGCAAATTATACTAAAGGCTTTTATACACTAAACAGCTTTTAAAACTTGAACTGATTTTAACAAATTAGTGCCTGGTTTCACAGACAAGGCTTAAGCCTAGTTCTAAAATGCATGTTTGAGCTGTTTTAACTGAAAGCAACTTGCACTCATATATCTTAAAATATGTTAGTGCCATTGATTTGTATTAAGTAATGTTTTTTCAAAGAATATTTAACTAAAGCCTAATCCTGGCTTAATCTAAGCGCTGTCAGTGAAAGCAGGCCTATGCATCATACATTTGCAGACTTAATAATGTTTACAGAGAAACACTGGGTATCATTCACTAAACAACTGAGGATCACACACTAAAAGACTTTCAAGTCATTCCTCATTGCTAGGAGACGCATGACAAATGAAAACAATATGTGTTTTAAAATTTGGCAAACAAATTTCAACGTAATTGGAATACAAATGACGCTACGTAAGTTTTCTGTAAAATTTGTCAACTCCAACTGCCCAAAATCTGCAGACAGTTTTCTGAATTTTGGAAACTAGCATCAACTCGTCCAGACTGCAAAGCGGGGCAAAAATCTTGGCAAAAGTTTTAGAGTGTATTCCAGCCTTAATCGGTAGAATGATCAACTTCCAAAGACAGGAAAATGGAATTCCCATTAATAGCATGCTTGATTTAGGCTTTTATCGTGTATTAAAATTGTCTAAGGTACATTATAGTAAGACATACAACTTAAGATTCAAGTTATAGTTCACTATAGGGGGCATTTACACAAGACAGTTTTCAACTAAAAATGGAAAACACTTTAAAAGTTTTGGCCGTTCATTTACACAACAACAACGTTTTGGGGGCCTGAAAACTCAAAGAGGTTTCAAAGTGCAAGTTTTTGAAAACATACTGTTATCGTCCCTGTGTAAACTACAAAAACGTAAATTTGTGAAAATGTCAGTTTATAGGTATGTACACAGGCACAGTTTTTCCTTTTCAAAATAACATTGCCAACTACTGGCCTGGCATGCATAATACAGTGTTTTTAGTTATTTTCATGGATCCGTGTGAATGGGGATCATTTTGACAATGTTGTCGTGTATATGAAAAAGTTCTTATAAACACAAAGGAAAAACTTTTAAAAAAATCTATTACATCAGTGCATCATTCTAATGCATGGGTTAGAGCAGGAGGTGGGGAGGGTGGGAACTAGGAAGGAGGTGTGCTGTTGTCATCGTCATTGAAGTTGTTGTCGATCTAGTACATCTAATACACCAGTGTCATGTAAACATACATTTAGGCAAAATTTTCCAGGCAAAAGTCAAAGTGAAGTGACATGTGGCCAAGTATGGTTACCCATATTAGTGCTCTGCATTTAACCCATCCTAAGTGAACACACACAGCAGTGAACACACACCTGGAGCAGTGGGAAGCCATTTATGCTGCGGCGCCCAGGGAGCAGTTGGGGGTTCGGTGCCTTGCTCAAGGGCACCTCAGTCGTGGTATTGAAGGTGGGAGAGAGCGCTGTACATTCACTCCCCCCACCTACAATTCCTGCCGGGCTGGAGACTCGAACTCACAACCTTTGGGTTACAAGTCCGACCATTAGGCCACGACTTCCCCACTAGTCAATAGTGTAGCATAGAAAACACAGCTCACACTGAAGTCAGTTTCAAATCGAGTAGCTTTTTGTTGGTCAGTACAGCCAAATACATGTGAAAATCTGAAAACTATTTTACACTAACGCAAATTATATGGATTCTTATTGAAATGACTAGATTTCGGCCACAAAATTGGCCAAACAACGGTAAATGACTGCAACTTTACTCAATCTTACATCTCATGTGAGGAACATCCCAAAATTAGTAGTTATTTGCTATAAATCTGTGCTTCTGATGCAACTCAAATTGTATTTGTATTTGCATACATTTAAATATGGTGAACTGTCTAACATCATCTTTTTTTGTTCCATGGAAGAAAGTACATTCATGTTTGGAACAACATGAAGGTGGGAAAATTATGACAATTTTAATTTTTACATGAACTGTTCCTTTTAAATTATGAAATCACACTGATTATCAAAATCTCACATAAAGATCACATTTATACTATAGTACAGAAACAATAGGTGAGGCCAGAAGAAAATCTGAGGAAAGACCCAAAGTGAAGGAAAATTGGTAAAACAGCAGAAGTAGTGAGTGAAAATCAAGCGTCACGGAGATGACAAAGATGGCCAGATGGTCACTCACTGGAATGGATCTGCTGAGGTAGCGCCCTGGAAATCCGCTTAGTCCACCACGCAACGGACCTCTATGAGGGTTTGGCCGACCACCGGAGAACAGACTATAGCCGGTTCTGTTCATAGGCCTGACTGTGCGATTAGAGCTAACGGTATTAGCTCCAGTAAGGCTGTTGAGGTTGGTGTTGGCCTCTTGATTGAAGTTTACATGTGAGGGAGGAATTCGGGGGTCAGCAGAGGTGTACCCAAAGCTGAAGCCTGATGGAAGTGCGTGGGTTAGAGCAGGAGATGGGGAGGGTGCAAAGGAGGAAGGAGGTGTCAACATTATTGACGTTGTTGTCATCGTAGCGGTTGCTGAGGGAATGGGCTAAACGGGGACTGAAGCTGTGCAGGGCGCATAAAGCAGGGTTAACAATGTCTGGGTACGTAAATAATAGGGGTGTAATGATATACCAATGCCACGGTTCGGGTCATATCACCGTTTTGGAGCCACAGTTCAGTTCGGATCTGTTTGCTGTGGGGGTAGGATTCATGGCATAGCACCAGCTATGCTAAAGATCACTAGATTCACTTTTAACTTAATAAAAATAATAATAACAATAATTGCACTTTGTTAGTTCATGTTAATTAATGCATTAACAAATTAGACTTAAAAAATTGTTGCTTTGTAAAGTGTTACCAAAAAATATATTGCCTTAAAAAATTATAATAAAATAAAATAATGCCTAAATAATGCAAACAAGTCTTTTTTGTCAAAGTCAAAACATTACTTAGGCTACATATAAAAATACATGTGCCATGGATAAATAAAATGAAATAGCTGGACGATAAGGAAATGATTTTAATCAAATCAAACCAGCCTCTCAGCTGGTTGAGGACCAAGCAGTAGCCTATCCGGGAACCGGACTGAGATTTTTTTTCCTTTTCCTCTCTCTCCTCTCCTCATCCTTCCGTCTCCTTTTCTCTCGCCCTGTCTGTCCTTATCCCCAGGTACACCGCGGCCACTGTGATCGGCTTCCCTGGTGGGGGAAGGGGGGAGTAGAGCGCAGTCTCGTGAGTACCCCCCGGCCTGCGAAGGGCGATGGGGGTATGTGATGAGTGGGGCGGGGCAGAGAGCCGTGGGAACAGAGCGAGGCCGGTGGAGTAAATGATAATGAGCGATACCTGCGACACTCACCGGTCTTGAGTCCCACAGAGGAGCTCCGGAAGAATAAAAGGAGGAGTGACGACAGTGAAAGATGAGAGAGGAGCAGGGCTGGATTTTATGTTGTTGTTTTATGCAGCAGTCGTCCGTGAGGGGCTGCCGCCATTACGTTTATTACTTTTTTTTTCGTTTTGTGTTCATTTATTTATTTATTAAAGTATTATTTTTAAATGTTCACCGGTTCCCACCTCCTTCTTCCAGATCTATGAACCTTGTTACATTAGGCTACGTTTACACTACGTTTACACTTGCGTTTTCGTTTTAAATTTTGACCCTCGAAAACGGAGACTTTCGAAAACGCTGCAGACCCCATTTTAGTTCGAAAACTCTGCGGTTGCATTTCAGTGTAAAGTCAAGAACACATTACATGACTGTCATGCCAATTATGAATGGAATTTGGTCTTGACGACGGATCGAGCCCAGTCGAACCGGGTCTGTTCCAGTTGGGCTCAGTCGCTATTTGCAGTCGGCAGAAAAAATCGCATAGTGTGTGGTGCCTAAAGATTATCATCTAAAAATTCAAGAACCACTCGTTTCCAGTCGTTTTCACAAAGATTTTTTTAAACATGTTTCATATTTGCGACTGATGCCAGCGATTGTACTGTAGGCTATGCGGCTATGCATTCACTGTCAAACGTCATTAAAGATTCATGGTTCCTGAAGAGGTTTTTGAAGCTCAAAGTGGGCAGAGCCGGCCGTCGCCATCTTGGCAGCGCGTCACCGTGCCATTGAAGTGTAGTTTTAAAATTAAAATGCACTAGTGTAAACAGGGCCTAAAATGGTTTTATATATATATATATATATATATATATATACAGTGGGTACGACTTAA